TGTAGATGAGGGGAGGGGATGTGAAGCCCCAGGACCCCCGGTCCAAAGAGAACACCAGCATTATACTACAGAGCCTTGACATTACAGTCTAGTAAATAGACAGTCAAAATTATAACGCATTGAAGCAATGTAATTCCTGGGTCTTAACAGATTTGTGGCACTTATATAATATTAAATAATAAAGTTCTTAACCATTCTGAATTTGACTATTGACAAGCTTCAACTGTGCAAAACAAAAGGAGGACCCTAGAGGGGGAAAAAATAAATAAATAAAAAAAAATAATAATAGTGCAAATAAGAAGGAAAGAAAACTAACCGTCTCGGACTTATCAAATGTTAGCTGACCTTATATTGCACTTTCACGTTCCTTGTTTTTGTTTTCTATTTTAGTATTAGCTAACCGTCTAATTACTTATCTTCTCTTTCACTTTCATTCTGTGCTTCCTTAACTTCCCGTGATTCCTATTTACCTACCTTTTCTTTTGTCTTCCTTTTCCTTTTAATTTCCTTTTCTTTCCTTTCTGCTTTCTTTTTAATACCTCCTTATACATTATTTCTTTAGCTTTAAATTACCTTTGTAAAATTTTCTTATCTTTCTTCTTTTTCTTTGTTTCCTATGTATCCTTGATTTTTCTTGTATTTACTTTATTTCTTTTCTTTCCTTTTCATTTCTTATGCTTTTTCATATATACTGTATCTCATTTTATCTTATCGTTTCTTTCGTATCCTGATATGGGCCCTAACACTTCCTCGTCCGGGGCCATGTGACTCGTATTTGCGCCATTGTGGTCTTTTAATCGAGAGGTTGTGAGTTCGAGGTAAATGTTAGCCACACTTGTACCCGCGGTGAGTCAAGCCAGGCTTGAGACTAGTGTGACCGTAGCCTATCATTGCTTCTCTTCAACCAAGAGTATAAAGCAAGTATAACCTCATTAATAAATTGAGTATGTGGGGGTGGTGCTAGCTGCCCTCCCACTCCCCCGTCTGGAAAAACCGCAATTCATGAGGTGAAAAAAAATCTGTAATACCATCAGTTTGTGACCCTAAAATCGATTTAATTAGCATTTCAAATGTTTAAATTAGTCAAAGCTTCCTGGACCCTTTCTGGTGGTTCCTCTTCACCACTTCTTTGGATATCGAATTCCACCCCGCCCACTCCCATAATACGTGGTAGTGCTAAATACATTCCAAGGAGTGGGGAAGGTGGCTCGATGTGTATGATTGATTCTGTATCCAATAACCAGGCGAAGAAGCCCTTTAGCCGTTTATTGTAAACGATATGATAAAATGATTTATTATTTTTTATCGCTTATTTCATTTTAGTATTTATTCTTTATAAATATATCCCGCAACATTGTTCAGGAACTGTTTGGGCAGACATCGTGTTCGCTATCGCCGATACGGCGATGGTGGGGAACTTCGATCAACATTATTTCTTAGCACTTAAATGTTAATTTATTCCAGACTCGGCCATTTAGGCGTAATACATGACATCAAAATCAACATTATGTAAGCTTAAAGTATGCTTTAGGACTTTGTGTTTTTTGTTTTTTTTAAAAACATGGTTGGTACTTTTGTGCTCCGTAGGCGCCACAGAACACAAAACAACCGGAAAACAGCAGGGTCGAAAAATCGTCCAATTTCGACAAAAAACATGAGCTATACCCTTGTTGATTCATTTTTAAAAATGTGCTGTTTTTTTTTTGGTTTTTTTTTAAACATGGTTGGTACTTTTGTGCTCCGCAGGTGCCACAGAACACAAAACAACCGGAAAACAGCAGGGTCGAAAAATCGTCCAATTTCGACAAAAAACATGAGCTATACCCTTGTTCATTCCTAAAAAAAAATGTGCAGGCATGAGCTAACCCACTTGCCCGACGACGGGATAAGTGTTTTTGACGGTCCGACAACAAGAATTTTAGGGACCACATGTCCGTGGACAAGCACTTTTAGAATAGGCTACTTCACCAGTACTGTCCTTGGCAGCAATTTTCTTTCAGATACTTGGCTGTAGACTTGCCACAAGTCTCTAATTTATGGACTTGCCACAACTCTCTAATTTATGAATTTTTCGTAGTACATTAGCGCATTTCGGAAAGCGCCACCAGCGTCAGTTTATGTTGAGAAACTTTTTTGATGAGCAGAAAAAGTACACTACACTATTAAATTAATTATTATTGAACGCCATTTGTGCCAAAATCGATTTATTCTTAAGCATTTCAACTGATAAAACAAAGATTAAGGACTGGAACCTAGCCTAACTTGGCTGTTGTGCACCTGTCTGATAACATCTAAATTATGGCGAAAACAAGCTTGTATGTGAACTACTGTATATCGTAAACACGTCTTCTAAAATATTGAAGTTCGGAATGGTGTTTCTTTTAAGTTTTGTAAATGTATATATAGGTAAGTAAAGTGTGTACTGTACTACACTATATTGTAATTGTACAAGCATGTATGGCTACTCATCGTGTTAGATTTAATTACCGCATCTATTGCTATGTTGTTGTTCAGGCCTACATTTTTTTCGGAGCGGACTGTGCTTTTATAGAGGGTCCTATACATTCATTTTGTGGAATACTTTAAAACATAGCAAATCTTAAAATTTGGCCGTAATACAATGGCATTAAACCGGAATATCTGAGTGAAAATGTAAACAATAACAATATAATAGGGAGATAAATAGCTGGCGTTGCATAATGACATACCGTATAGTTTGGTAGGCACATGTTTTTGCAATCTACAATGTAAATCTAAGCACTCTGTAAAATCATTTTAACTAATAAAGTGTGATATTATATATAGCGACTTTAAAAAAATCCGTGGGTCGTAAATGCGCTTTAATTTAAATAGGCCTATAACAATAGCATAAATATATAAATTCATGAAAATAGAATGCAGCTGTTAATGCTCTCAAAATTGTGTATATTTATGCATTTTAATATATTTCCTGCATTGTATTCGTTCTTTTGGGGTTCATCGATTCATATGTCATTACGTATGCAAATACTCTTTTTTTTCTGTATATATACCGGTACACACATAATAGGCCATTTACTGTAGGCCTAATAAGGATGAGAAAAAATTACCTGACCGTTTTAAAGAGTGATAGGCCTAAACCTTGAATTTTGAAGAACTTAAAAAAGTCATTAAGTAACAATTCAGAAGTCGGGAAAGCTCATTTCCCGCCATCTAGGAATCAAAATTTCCCCGACCCTCTGTTCTATTTGGGGCTCAAAAAAAGAATATGTATGCATCTATTCATTATTTTTATGTAGGCCTATATACACACATAGGCCTATTTACTGAATAAGAATTTAAAAGTTTACCTGACCGTTTTCAAGAGGTGAAAACTTTCAATTTTGAAGAACTTAAAGAACAGACACCTCAGTATTTGGGAAACCTTATTTACCGCCATCTAGGAATCAAAATATTCCCGGGAGAGGAGGCCCTCCCCATTTCTTTTGAGGGGTTTTTTGGAAACATTTTGACCCCCCTCAAATTTCAACCCAGATCCGCCCCTGTATTTGTAGGACGTTACAGGGTTCCAATAGGGTATTGGTTAAAATGCAATACGGTATTCGCTTTTAAATTTTATTACAAAAAATAACAAATTTTGTATCCAGTACATTTTTGACTGTTTATAATTATGTGGACCTTTTCGATTGGAGGTTGGGGATGGTGGGGAGCGTACGCACCCAAACCATTATTAAAATAACGTTTTACTAACATGTACACTTCACGGAATGTATCACATACCTCATGGAAGTATGCATGTTATAACAAATGGAAAATATATTATTTTAAGTGTATTTCTCACTAGTTCAATCTCTCTTTATTTCAGTGTTTTAGGTCGAATCTACCGATCCATCAAGAAGTGCAAGATCGATGTACAATCATTGTCACCGAAACACGATGTATATTAAATTGACTTAACACAATGTACTATCATCATTTAGTCCTGCGTTCAGTACATCACCTAAGTAAACCTAAGTAAGTATTAGCCAGATGTGCATGTAACTACCCTTTGTTTAATATGTGTTTCATAGCGTTAAATTTTGTAAATTATGTCAGAATTAAGCCTATGAATTAATTAGATATCGTATGAATTAATACTATTTTCATTTTAAAACTAGGTTTTATGTGGCATCTGCAAGCATGGATAAGGTTTTGGTGATCCTTATGTTGCAGGGCTACAAATTAACCGGGAAATGATTCGAAAAATCGCCCAATTTTGACAAAAGCCTTGAGGCCCTTTGTGTTTTTGCCAAAAGTGTCCTATTTTTTGCCTGTTCATTTTTCGGCTAATTCTTATATGTTACAAAGTAATCATGAAAATACAGATTATGTTTGAATTAACCTTGATTAGCATGTGTTTCATTGCATTAAATTTTGTGAATTATCCCAGAATGAAGCCTTTAATGAATTAATTAGATTGTATGAATTAATATTATTTTGATTTTAAAACTACGGATAGTGTTTCGGTGATACGTATGTGCCATGGAGCACCACTACCATTATCACCATCTCCACCACAACCATCATCGCCATCATCATCATCATCATCATTATCATCATCATCATCATCAACAACAACCATCGACATCATCATCATCATCATTATCATCAGCAGCATCATCATCAACAATCATCAACATTATCATTATCATCATTGTCATCAACATCATCACCACTATACTACTATTACATTACCATCATCGTATCATCATCATTACCATCATCATCATCATCATCATCATCATCATCATCATCATCATCATCACCATAATCATCATAGCCACTACCATCATCATCATCATCATCATCATAATCATCATCATCATCACATCATCATCATCATATCGTCATCATCATCATCATCATCATCATCATCATCATCATCATCATCATCATCATCATCGTCATCATCATCATCATCATCACCTTCCTCATCATCATAAAGGAATGCCGCTTTAGTAAAAGAATAATGAATTGTTTTGATACCTCACCAGGTGGCGTTTTAAATATAAACAATACTGTATGTGGAGTTGAGAGACTACGAAGGAGACTTTACAACTAATAACAAATGTGAGTACAGTATTGAACATATTGCATCGTTAATTTAATTGTAAAATTGGAATTCTGTCATCATACTATAGTTATTATTTTGAATAAATTTGTTAGGCATTGAATAAGGCTGGAAAATTTCCTCGACCGAGGCATGCATTGACACGGCTGCATTCTATCCAACAACATACATTTCAAGTTACTCGCTAAAACCACCATATTCTTGAAACTGGCTGAAGAAAGTTTATTTACAGCTTGGGGCTTGTTAACTTCCGTTCGTTGTTTACATTGTAGATTCGTATCTGTTTTTCTAATTGAAATTATATGAAATTTATTATAAAGAATCGCGTCATTATCTGGTGCACATAATTATTTTAATCATGAATACAGTAATCGAAATAAGTTATACCCCGACAAAAATATTTGTCATATTATTTCTAAAGGACGAACGTGATCGAGGTAGGCCCAAATAACACTGTCCTTATCAATTTATATTAATATAATCATGGATATGTACCTCCATGATGTCGATATAGCAGATAGGCCTATAGCTACCAGTGGCGGATTGAGTAATTCGAAATATAGAGGGCCCAGAAAGGGACTTCCACAATTTTAAGGTGGTACGCTAAGATCCAGTAGCATATGCTGTAAATGGCTAACAATTATTATATTTTTTAATTAAAAAGCAACCAGCAACAGGACCTCAGTCAGTTCGCGTTTTTTACATTAGTTCCTTACTTACGGGCATTTTACTACAAAAATCCTTCATTTGACACTACTACCAACCAATTTTTTAAGTGTTTCTACGTATACAAAAAGTATATAGCGAAGGTATTGAGACAGGAAACAATTTTGTCATACAGATATTTAATTGTAAGTTAAAAACTTATTTAAATATAAGTATTCAATCATATAATTACTTTTTTCATCTTTCAGCTCATGACGGGAAGTATCTTGAAATTTTACCCCATTGGAAATGGGCTGGACTGGCCTATGGGCGTTCGTGATGCTCATTAATTTTTACTTTTCTCGTTCACAATATTTTATTTTACTTGTGCATGTTGAACATCGAATAAATTCGATCAATTAGTCAATAAATATTATATCATGGAATATCATGATTAGATATTGCATGAATTAATATTATTTAATTTGAAACTAGGTTTTATGAGGCGTCTGTGAACATGGATAGTGTTTCGGAGATCCGTATGTGCCAGGGAGCACACAACAACCGGAAAATGACAGGGTTGAACATTCGCCCAATTTCGACAAAAACCGTGAGCTATACCCTTTGTGTTTTTTGCCAAAATTGACCTATTTTTTACCTATTCATTTTTTCTGCTGATTCTTATATTATGGTAGGAAATGATCATAAAAATACGATTATGTTTGAATTACCCTTGTTTAACATGTGTTTCATATCATTAAATGTTGTGAATTATCCCAGAATTAAGCCTACAATTAATGAATTAATTAGATATCATATGAATTAATATTATTTTGATTTTAAAATAGGTTTAATGTGGCATCTGCCAAATTGATTTTATTTCGGTGATCCGTATGTGCCACGGATACAAAATAACCGGAAAATGACAGTTGAAAAATCGCCTAATTTCGACAAAAACCGTGAGGCTATTTTTTACCTATTCATTTTCATGCTGATTCTAATATTATGGTACGAAAGGAACGTGAAAATACCGATTATATTTTACTTAACCATGTTTAACATGTGTTCCATAGCATTAAATATGTTTAATTATCCCAGAATTCATATGGGCTTATAATATAAATTACTATTACTTTAAACCTTTAAACAAGGTTTTATATGGCGTCTGCAAACATGGATAGTGTTTCGGTGATCCGTATGTGCCAGGGAGCACAAAACAACCAGAAAATTACAAGGTTGAAAAATCGCCCAATTTCGACAAAAACCGTAAGCTATACCCTTTGCGTTTTTGCCAAAATTGGCCTATTTTTCACATAGTTGTTTTTCGGCTTATTTTTATAATATGGTAGGAAAGGATCATGAAAATACCGATTATGTTTAAATTAACCTTGTTCAACATGTGTTTCGTAGTATTAAATGTTGTGAATTAACCCAACTTAAGTCTATAATGAAATAATTAAATATCGTATGAATTAATATTATTTCGATTTTAAAATTAGGTTTTAAGTTGCATCTGCAGACATGGATAGTGTTTCGGTGATCCGTATGTGCCAGGGAGCTCAAAACAACCGGAAAATGACAGGGTCGAAAAGTCACCCAATTTCGACAAAAACCGTCGAAAAGCCTTTGCGTTTTTGTCAAAATTCACCTGTTTTTCACATATTCGTTTTTCGGTTTATTCTTATATATTGTACGAAAGGATCGTGAAAATACCGATTTTGTTTTAATTAACTTTCATTAACATGTGTTGCATAGCATTAAATATTGTGAATTATCCTAGACTTAAGCCTGTAATGAATTAATTATATCGTATGAATTAATATTATTTTGATTTTAAAATTAGGTTTTAAGTTGCACCTGCAAACATGGATAGTGTTTCGGAGATCCGTATGTGGCAGGGAGTACACAACAACCGGAAAATGACGGGGTCGAAAAATCGCCCAATTTCGACTAAAACCTTTGTGTTTTTGCCAAAATTGGCCTATTTTTTACTAGATTTTTATCAGCTGATTCTTATATTATGGTACAAAAGGATTATGAAAATACCGTTTATGTTTGAATTAACCTTCATTAACTTGTGTTTCATAACATTAAATATTGTGAAATATCCCGTAATAACAATTATCAACATCATCAATATCATAATAACCACCATCATCATAATCATCAGCAATATCATCATAAACACTACCATCATCATCATCATCACCATCATCACTATTACCATCATCATCATCATCATCACATCATCATCATCATCGTCATCATCATCATCACCTTCCTCATCATCATAAAGGAATGGCGCTTTAGTAAAAGAATAATGAATTGTTTTGATACCTCACCAGGTGGCGTTTTAAATATAAACAATACTGTATGTGGAGTTGAGAGACTACGAAGGAGACTTTACAACTAATAACAAATGTGAGTACAGTATTGAACATTTTGCATCGTTAATTTAATTGTAAAATTGGAATTCTGTCATCATACTATAGTTATTATTTTGAATAAATCTGTTAGGCATTGAAGAAGGCTGGATAATTTCCTCGACAGAGGCATGCATTGACACGGCTGCATTCTATCCAACAACAACATACCTATATACTTCCATGCTGTAGATGGTCAGACATGAATTTGAATACTTTGTTAAATAATTGTAGCCCGAGTTACCATAACGGATAAACTGACATCGACCCCATCGTCCGACTAGACAAATAAAAATGCCGATCCTAAGCCGTAAAATGTCTCCACATAAGCCCCACCCCAGGGAATTTATTACACGACCCTGACTGCGGCTCTAGACAGCCCCTGTTTCAGACCAAAAAATGTCGGCATTTTTTACATTTTTTCCTGATTTACGGACATTTCACTACAAAAATCCTTAAATTGACACTACTATCAACCATTTTTAAATGTTTCTATGTATATATAAAGAATATAGCAAAGGTATTGCTGACAGGAAAAAATGTTGTCATACAGATATTTAATTGGAAGTTAATAAATTAAATATAAATATTCAATTATGGGATTAAATTTTTCATCTTTCAGCTCATGACAGAATATAGGCCTATCTTTAAATTGGAAATAGGTTGGGCCCTGACCTAATGGGCGTTCGTGATGCTCATTAATTTGTACTTTTCTTGTTCACAATTTTTTATTTTGCTTGTGAATGTTGAACATCGAATATATTCAATCAATTAGTCAATAAATATTACGGTATATCATAAAAATGTTTGTATTAAGATATAGTTAAAATATTATGTTTATATAAAATGTTTGAATATACCGTATGAATCTATATACTGTATTCATTTCTATCGAATGGTACACCTTTACATTTTATTTACACAAGACAATCGAATGCTAAAATAATTTGTTCATACTATTGCAATCTACTAGGCCTATCCAATACCATTTGTTTATTAATCCTCAATCATTCTGTGGTGGGATGATACTATACTACCGTAAAACCTCGGACAGAGGCCCAATGAGCTTAATCTCGAGAAGAAGCTCATCTCAAATTAAAGCCCCACCCCCTTCCCCCCTTTAATTTGCAAAAGTACCCTAAAAAACCCATGAGCTCCTTTTCAAGATAGCATGGGCTTCTTTTTCGAGATAGTATAGTACATACATTGTACATGAATCTCGAAGAAACACAATAAATTAAAAACATGCTTGGTTTATACAGTAGTTTGGGTACTTTATGCCAGTTAATACACTCCATGATACAGATTGATGTTACTGTGGCCCTATTTATTGTTTTATAGTAGTATGCCCAGGGCTTCTATTCGAGGTTTTATGGTATATGATAATGCTGATACGAAGAATTGTGAACTATTCTTTTGTATCAGCAGCATTGTCCATACATTGCTGGATATGATAATGTTCAGGTTTTGGTGCTCACTAAATTTTATTTATATATTACGTTTTTGAATCTTCGTTATAATTCTTTCTTTGTTTCTAAATATTTTCTCAATACTTTTCTATTTCAGTAAGGTAGACAACGAATCCACAAATATCAGCAAAGAATGTCCGGACTCGAGCGTGAAAGGGCAACAGAACTTATCAACTAGGCCCTATTTATATATAGACCATTATCAAGTTTATTTTGAAACAGTGCCGCCAAATATTGTCAAAAATCAAGCATCCTGCAAAAACACTGGGTATAAATGAAATAAAATAGGCCTATAGTGTGAATTTTACTTTAAAAAATATATTTTCTCTGCAAAAATCTCAAAAATAATGTTAGCAATAAGTATTAATTCTTGTAGGCTTTATGTTTATTGTATTATTACTATTATTAGAGAAAATAAACCGTAATATTGTTGCAAAGAATATAGACATATGTAAGATAATAAGATAAAACATTTTGTAGATTAAAATCACGTCTATTGATTGACATGTAATATATATAGGCCTATATACTGTATAAAATAAAATGTATACATATATCTTAACTTGATTTGAATGCTTGGAAATAAATATTAAATAGAATTATTCATTTCTTCTCATCTTATTCAATGTCTGTGTTTACTTTAATAAATTTAATAGCTAAAATATCCTTATATCCTCAAACCAAAAGTGAAGAATAATTGCTTCATCAATTATATTAGCTACTTTGTCTATTAAACTAGCAATGAAATTCTTTCGAGGACGCCCTCAACAAACAAAATAAAACCGGAAATGACGTGGTTGCTAAGTAACAAGCTCATGCATAATCATGAATATTCAGTAACACCTGTTCTAATTAGACTAACAATAAAATCTTTTTGGTCGATTTTGTCAAAACTGAGCTAAAAGTTTTTATTGTTAGTCTAATGAGCACAGGTGTTACTGAATATTCATGAGCTGTTGCCTAGCAACCGACGTCATTTCCTGTTTTGTAAAATTACGGTCCTTTCGAGGACGCCCTCAACAAAAACATAAAACCGGAAATGACGTGGTTGCTAAGCAACAGACTCATGCATAATCATGAATATTCAGCAACACCTGTTCTAATTAGACTAACAATAAAATCTTTTTGGTCGATTTTGTCAAAACTGAGCTAAAAGTTTTTATTGTTAGTCTAATGAGCACAGGTGTTACTGAATATGCATGAGCTGTAGCTTAGCAACCGACGTCATTTCCTGTTTTGTAAAATTCGACGGCACCTTGCTCTGAAAATGTTCGTAATTTGTTTGTATGATGTGAATATTTGGAAATATTAGTGTTTATAAGATATAGTAGCAGCCAATACTGGTATATTCGCTTTGAACTGATTATAATATATTTAATTCGATTATATACCCATTAATATCATGAAATATATATTATTATGAATGCAATTACGACAGAGGAAGTACACACACAATGGTAAATTTTAAATCACACATCAGTTAACTTTTATTCAGAACTATATAAACGTAATATAAATACAACACAAAGATTGTAGTTTTAAATAATATTAAATAATGCTTAGGCCTAATTACATAAGTATGTAATATCGCTCGAGGATAACTTGCTCGTTGTACAAGAAACATAACTTGCAAATTTAATTAAATTCTGATGATCCAGTGGTATAAAACCTAACAAAATATCCGCGCGCGATTATTTGCAGAAGACCTCATAAATCTGGCTAATGATAGTACATTGTGTTACGTCAATTTAATATATATCGTGTTCCGGTGACAATGATTGTACATCGATCTTGCACTTCTTGATGGATCGGTAGATTTGACCTGAGACACTGAAATAAAAGAGAACTTGTGAGAAATACATTCAAAATATATTTTCCATTTTTTATGACATTCATATTCATGAGGTATACAACTTGTTAAATTGATTTAATACATTCTGTAAAGTGTACATGCCAATAAAACGTTATTTTCATAATGATTTGGGTGCGTACGCTTACCACCGTCCCCAACCCCCAATCAAAAAAGGTCCACATTTCAAAAGACATCA